GTGGACAATTCAACTCAGTGCAAACAGACATTTTGTGAACTCAGTGCAAAATCCAACTCAATGTTTAAAGTAAGCTCATTCATTTGTACGAAATTTTTGTAAGGCGAGAACTTTATTTATTGATTAAACGCGCTTTAAACTTCCAACGCCTCCCTTGGTTTTGCAGAAACACCGTTATCCGGAACCACGTCGCATATCCTTTGCAACTCACACTCATTCCCATACACTATCTCTTTATTCTCTTATATTATGTTTAAATGCTTACGTGTTTTTTCAATGAAAATTCTGTGATAATATGAATTAATGTGATACGTTTACCTTTTGCAGTACAAATTCACTGAAGTACCAGAAGAATTGCGAATTCGTACAGGGAAAGTATTTCGCCAAATACGTAGTTCTAAATTTTGTAATAAACTTTCTTTGAAAGTTCTGAACGGTGTCGACGATCTTCTCGGACAAATGAATCTGACTTACAGAATACAATTTCCTTCAGAACGGATTGTAAAGGAACTGAAGATAGATGGAATAGATGCCATATGTAAACCAGAGGATGTACATCTGGCGTTTTTATATACGAATATTTATGACAGTCACAGGCTGATCATAAAAATCCATGAAGCATTACAATATCTCAAGCCTGGACAAGGATTAATTTTAACTGGATATACATTGCTTACTCATTTTAGTAATGAATTGCTTTATCTTATTGGCTGTGCCTTTGACTACGTAAATATTAGGGTCCATAATGACGTAGGATTGATAATTACATTGGAGCACTATAACTACAATGATGAAGTACTAAAATACTTAAATGAAATTAAACGTGCTTCTTGGATAGCACAAGAACAAAGATCAACTATTTTGGAAATATTTCATCCACTCATTTTGTATGAAGGTAAAATGAAAGAGATATTTTAATGTGTTTCAAATAGTGAATTTTATGATTTCATGATATTAAATTCTGTAAATTACTTTTCTAGGATGTGAATTATGCCGCACATCAGATTTTAACCACTGGATCATAAAAACATATGTTCGTAGTGCGCTAGATTTATTAAAACGATACAAGTTCCTTTTTAATACTAAGTAGTACAATTTAAAACAATTATCTCAGTTATGATGCCAAAGTTGTACCAAAATTTTGATATAATAAAGTATAATTGTAAGTGTATAAATTGTGTCTGTTGTTTACATATGCACATCTCATACATATAATAAACGTAATAATCTACTACTAATAATTCATTCGAAAATTTCGACAAAATTTAAAATCAATCAAATTCAATTTAAGAATAGTCAAAAGACAATAATAAAAGTCCTC